CACGAAACAGAAGAGCACCATTTGAAAAGAAACGAGGTAAAACAAAATTAAAACGAGAGAGAGAGAGAGAGAGAGAGAGAGAGAGAGAGAACGCGAACACAGTAGACATGACGAATCGCTCGACGTACAATATTCCGAAGCGCCTAAATAAAAAAAGAGCGGAAGTGAAATACGCGTTGATTGATATTGGCCCAGACCCCGTTATCACTACGCGATGTCCGAAGGAGGAAGGGAGTGAAAAAGACTGGTTTCCATGCACAAAGCGACGACGAGTCGAGTTCATTGATTCACTTGACGCCCCTGAGAGCAGCAACTCAATAGATGAATTTCCAGTCACTTAACACGACGATTGCGATTCGCCGAGGAAAATAAAGCAGCAGCGGCGAAAAAGAATGCCGTACAACGAGATCGTTAAGAGAAACCTGGAGGTGGGGCGGTGCGCGCTTACGTAATGACCTACGACGTAACTCACTCCGCTCATCCTAGGTGATCGAAGAGAAATGTTATTGAAGTATCGGATGGCGGAGCCTCTACCTGAACATTGTTAGTAAACTGTTTTTATCGATTCTGCGATGAGAAATCGATCTTCTCAGAGATATTAAAGTTGTTTTTTAGAAAAAGACATTTTAATGAAAAGTTCTCAAGCTTGATTTTTTCAATCAGAATCTCTAGTCACTATACCACTATCATTAGGCCAAATTCAGTTAAGGAAGCTTGACAACTGATTACAAACCGAAGCACTCGTAAGTAGCTCTCAAGTAAAAGCGTACATTAAAATCCCAATGACAAATAGCACCCCTGGAGTAGACTTGGTCTCACGGTTATTCAGCTATAGTGCTACTGCGTGGCAGGCGGCATCTCTGACAAAGACAAAGATCCCTAACTTCTGGACAGTTTCGCAGAAAAAAAAAGATCACGAGGGAGGAGGAAAAAGACACGTGATTAGATTCTGGCACGTGGCCCATTGTCGGTCCTTTGCTTGCGCGTCTATATACATACGTACAAGCGTCAAGCGCCCGAGGTTTAATCGCCTGTGGATACGAACGCAGACGACGTCGAGTATGTAGCAAGGCGAGTCCGAAACTCAATATATATTGAGGGGGTTCCCTATTCGTTGCGTTGGCGCCCTTTCGATTTCTCTCTCTCTCTCTCTCTCTCTCTCTCTCTCTCTCTCTCTCTCTCTCTCTCTCTCTCTCCTTCTTTTTCTTGCTGCAAAGCCTAAGAATCGAGTTTCAAGGACCGCTTAATCGACACTAAACGACACCGAACGAGCTTTCTACAATCGGATTTTCGTCTTACTTTGCCAGAGAAATTGCGAGCTTGCCGGAGGGACTGTTCCACGATTGTTAATTCGATTAAGAGTCTTAGATAAAAGATTCGTTGATTGAAGCGAAGCGACGAAGGATGTGCTTGTTTCTGCAATTGTCATATTTCATCCTGACGAGTCGATTTCCTAACGATTTTAATGATTACGTGTACATGATAATTGATGAGTCTTTTTTTAATAATAAGCTATAGTCAGCTCTGTTGATAATAACTTTCACCAATAATATGCCAAGCGTAAAAATCAATGCAAGTCGTTAGAGCAAGATCGAACCAGATGCAGAAAAAAAACTTCCGAGAAAGAGAAAATCAATCGTAGACTAGCGCAAAGATTTTATTAGTCCGAACCCCTTTGAAAGATGCAGCATGCAGTTCTTGCGAGCGAACGACATATACATATGAGCTTTTATTGGGTTACGCTTGTACGTTATGAAAAGCAACGGCGTCTATTTTCTCTTTGTGTAGTCGGCCATCTGTCACCCTCTCTTACGACATATAACGCGACTTTTTCTTTATCTCCTGCGTTCTCGCTGTCTTTGTTTCTCCCCCGCGCGCTCGCACCGCGATGCGCGATGAGAGAGAGAGAGAGAGAGAGAGAGAGAGAGAGAGAGAGAGAGAGAGAGAGAGAGACCCCCCTCGATCCGTTCCATACTTATCATGTAGACTGTTGGTGCGGTTTTCTCTTTATTGCGTTTTCTTTCATTGTTACACGGGACACACTTAGTTCTTCTCGGGCGAAGAAGTCGGTTTCAATGGAGACCTCGTGCGTACGGTATTGTTAGCATGCAATTGCGACAATGAGTTTGTACAATACTGAAGGATTGTCTAAGGGTACGAAAGATGTATTGATTTCAATTATTTTTCAAACTGGAAATTTGATTGAAGCTGACCTGACTTCTTTCTTCAATTTGGACTTCTGATTCGATTCGAAAATTTCAATGTTATTTTTGAATGACATCATATAATTATCAATTCGACCCCTAACGTTATTTAGAGGAGATAAGCATTGATGTGAATTGTGTCTACCTTTTTTATCGACGTCAAAACCCTTAAAAATAATCTTGCACGCATGATGACGATATTATGCCAGAACGCTCTTGGAAAATAAACAACCTAGCGTGTATATATGTTCTAATAAAATCACTTCCCACCCCATCACGCCTACAAAGCTTACAGTCCCCATCCTAAAGATCGAACGTAGTGCATGCGTCTTCGTGGGAAATAGATGCGTGCAGGTTTCCCCTATCTCGCTCGCGTGGGAGGAGAAGCAGTGACCAAACCTTTATCAATGTGCGCGTTTTTGACGTGCGCATACACACACACACACACAAACGTACACGGGCAATAGCGCAGATTATTATCGCTTTACATAACACGATAAAGGGAGCCACTATCACTATCGATTTGTTGCCTCGCGACCCGCGACTTATCGTCCACGTAGCTTTTACACGATATTCCAGGTGTGCATTTGTGTATTTGTTTGATCTACTAGAAAAACAACAAATGTTAATTGAAAACTTTTAGCAGTACGTCTAATCAACGTTGATTAAACAATAACATTGAGCTAACCGAGAGCGAGAAAAAAAATACAAAAACTCGGAGGCGTTGGCAAACGAAATGGACTTTTAATAACTGCATGGGCAATGTTGACGCAACGAAAACTAGACAGAGTACCCGTTCACTGCGCACGCGCAATTCATTGCGTGTAATGTATAAGAGAGAGAGAGAGAGAGAGAGAGAGAGAGAGAGAGAGAGAGAGAGAGAGAGAGAGAAAGGAAGAGGTCGGACCCGTGTTTACGCAAAATTACCGAGTGCTATCGTTGCGATTGTGCACTGGCTGCACATACATACACGCGGGGATATCGTTTGATACATGACCCGTAGTCGTAGCACAATCATATTTTGTAGCCGCGGTATGCTCTTTTATGATTAGAAGTTTCTATTTAGTTGGGCAATGCCGTTTTCCCCGCGATTTTTATTAGCTTTGAGATCGAAATGAAATGATGAATTGGAAGAGTAGCTATATACGCGGTGGGTTTTTTGATGAAATCGGCGCTGTTTGTGAATTGTAATCACATGTCATAACGCGGAACGAACTAGCTAAACCTTTTTTTTCAATATTTGCAATTCCACAAAGTCAGAACATACATAAAACATTTTTGACATCGGCAATTTCGTCGGGGCAGCAAGCCACGCAGGCTAATGAAAGTACAGCGGGGAGCTCGCGAGCCATTAAAGGATTACGAATCGTCATTATTTCAGGTCGATTATCGGATTGACTAATAAAATGTGCGTACATTTAGCGTGGCACTGAAACGAGTGTCGCATATACGTACATCTCGCACGCATTGCCAGGATTATTACGATGTGCGACATCCGCGCACACGCGCGCGCGTTGCTCTTTCCCAGAAATTTCCTTGTGTTACGATCAAATTCTGCTTTATCATTCGCGGCATATAATCATTTGTGATTACAACGCAGCACAAGTACGCTGTGCGCGCTTATTTTTTAGATGCGTAGCAGTGTTTTGGTTTTACCAGGACAGCGATCAATCGTAATTTCAAAGTGCGCCGCGAGCATAAATGGGTATCGCGCGCGTATTTTCCACTACTTCGGATGAACGTTGTTGATTTTTTTTACAATCGATACTAGCCGTAAAAACAGAATAGCCATTAAAACTTGGGAAAATTTGCAGCGGCGAGAGAGACCAGGTAGTTTTGTTGCTGTAACAGCAGAGTTAAGCAAACATCGAATGTATACAGTAAGTTGCATTTTGGCCGTGACTGCCAAGTCAAGAAGAGAGATATACAGAGATAGAGAGAAGTAAGAGGGAGGAAGACGGTTGCACATAGCTAATACATCACAAACTTGGAGACAAAGAGAGGAAAGCCCTGGGCTTTCGAAAGCCCTACTCCGTGTAGAATCCGCCCGAAACTTTACCTATTTGTTAAGTCTCCAAAACTGCCTCGGAGATACTGCACTCCGAGATTTGGCTGTACGCGACTGTATCGCGCGCGCCAATCGAGGACAATGCGACGACTCCAAGGCGTCGCAAAGTTGCACGACGGTTGCTTGCTACTGCTACTGCTACTGCTGGCCCCTTTTGCCCAGGCTTTTGCGGACGGTGTTCGTTTGAATATTAGCCAAATTGTTAGCCAACTAGATTAATGAGCGTCGAGCTTTTTAAATCAATCATAATCCCTTGAACAGTCGTTTCAGCTGACCATTTTTGCCAGATAATAGACTTTTGAACGTTTGCCATTCGAACGGTAAAACCCGCGTTGGCGAAACTTTTGAATATCTCCCTTTTCCGCGCGCGCCTGGGGTACGTATACGTATGTGCGACGTGTTGTGCTTCGCGAGGTAATTGGAGTGACTTGGGCACACACGCATCCCGCGCTACGCGCCCGGCACATCTTCGTGACGTGTGAAAAAATAAGGATACCGGTGGGATGCGGAGAGTTTCATTCCCCGACGACAATATCGCCTTGGGCGACTGCTAGTGATGCAAATTTTGCGCACTCCCTATTCCAATCCGTTGCTCTTATACGCGCCCATACGCACACATCGATCACTGTGTTTCTCGAATTCGTATACGTGTTATTCTCTGTCTTTTGTCTCTTACTTTTACCTTGTCGCTCTACAGATCTACAAATATTTTTTGTTCTCTGTTTCAGAAACTTACATCTCGAACCGTCAGCCACGACTGCCCAGATTGTAAGTACGATAGAGAAAATATAACAGTACACTCGCTCACTTACACACACACACAATAGTTTTTCACTTAGCGTCACGCAAAAACGTCGATGTTCAGCTGTACAAGAATCCACAGCAGCGAGAACACATTCTAAAAGGAACACATCGAGCATTGAATAAAACGCGACTTTTCTCTCGTCGTCGACGTCGACGGAGTATCCGCGAAAGGGCATTAGCGCGCACTACCTACGACAATACCGACGACGACGACGACGACGACGACGACGACGACGACGACGACGGCATACATTTATCCCTCGTGCAAAAAGAAAGTAAAGCTTGCGGGTTAGCAAAAAAAGCAACAACAAAATACGGAAAAATACGGAAAGGAAATGCGCGACGTATTTTTTTGAAAAGAAAAAATGGCAAAGAATAGAATGGCGCCTGTATAAGCAAAAAGACTCGAAGAAGCGAAAGGAAAAAAGCAGAAAGAAAGGAGTAACATTGAAAAGGAAATCGAAGCATGCGCTATAACATCGCGAGAGCATACGATGCACAATGCACTCAGTCGTAGCTCTAAGGTACATAATCATCATTCCTTCCCTAATAAAAGTCTCACTGTCAGTCGCGAGCTCGCGCGCGTGATTTCACAAAAGCTGCACACCCTTTCCGCCGATATCCCTCCGTACACGTATACTCCTTCGTTGCACCAGTGCTGCTCACTCTCTAACCGCGCCGCAGAGCCGCCTGCAGCTAAACTGCATACAAGCGCGGATATATAAGACAAAGAGGAGCCGAGAATTACAAGGGATACGGGTCAGAAATGCTTGGCGATGCACCATCTGGAATTGCACTTTTTTTAATTTCCAAGCCCGCCAATGCGCGGTGTGTGCGTACGTCTGTGTGCTGACACTACGTCTGCGTATGCGCAATGCACGTCGAAGGTCGACGCTTACTTGATTCTTCTCTTTCGCTCCGCTCTTCCTTTCCCTTTTTTAGCCCGTGCCATGCGCTTTCGCTATAGACTCGATGATTTGACTGGCAGTTGCGCCACCCGCCCGTTTGTCAGTCTGCCTTTCGAACATCGCGTCCAATACCAGATCACTCTCACTCACTTTACGTGCGCTATGTAAACTTGTCACTATTTTTATTGCAAAATCAAAAAATTTATTGGATTTCCATCGAGACATAACGATTTGATTGAGTTATGACACCCCATAGAATTTGGTAGATGTAATAAGGCGAAAACGTATGAATTAGAAAAAAATACCTACAAGCGCCTAATAATCCAATTAATCTAGCGTCTCTCACATAATCGCTCATGAAAAGAAAGGCCCGACGATCCATAAAGTCAGTCACGTCGTACACCCTCGAATTAGACCACGTCCGATCACACACAATATACGAGTAAAGCAAATCGTCTCAGCGGGAAAAAGAAGCAAACAGTGAGCCAGAGAAAAAGGGAAGTTTGAAAGGAACTCCGAGGAGACTATAAAAGCCAAGCCAATATTTTCTTGGAGCACACGCGACAAGCGCGCGATTCCTCGCATTAAAAACACGCATACACATCCCTCGCATTAGATAGCTATATGTAGCGTTCTAGCGTATCGTATATCCCATGAAAGAAAAGGTAGCAAGGGCGTGGGCTGTTTAAAGGGCCCTTCTTACGAGGTGTTTGTTAAAAGGAAAAGAAACCAGATGGTCGAGGTAGTGGGCTCCAGTAATAAGGTCTCGAGATGCTCGCTCGCTCGCTTTTTTCTCGCGGCATATGCGCACCAACGGGATTCTTCTAATCCAGGCGCGACCGGATATCGACAAGAGTGATCGGAACAAAATGCATCGTTAAGGAAACAGAAGAGACTCCTCTGTGTGGAGCACCGTGTGTTTTTTGTTGCGGCACGCGCGCGCACACGCGTCCCCGAAACGCGTTCTCGAAACGCGTCCCCGAAACGCGTCCCCGAAACGCGTCCCCGAAACGCGTCCCCGAAACGCGGCGCTCGGCATATGGGATTCTTCTTATAAATTGGCAGAGGGACTTCCTTCGTATGCTATGCCAACCTTTCGTCCATCTAACTATGAATTAATGCTTAGTAAGCTAAGCTAATCAAGCTTTCGAAATTTTTTACTTTCAAATTGTACTTGTAAATCTACAATCGCGTTCATTTTTTCAATGTTTGATGATGACTTTTTCAATTTTCCCAATTAAACCACAAGATATCCGTACTCAAATCGTGAACACCCAACATCTAAAGGAACAAGATTCAAAGCACAAAAGCAACGATCTACAGTCAGTTCACCGTAAAACTTTTCAACCAAACAACAAACCTCCCCGTCTTACCTCCGGCCCATTACATAATAAAGGTACAGTAGCACAATGTAAATACCCAGCTTATTGTCGACTTATCCACGCTCCGATCTGCGATTTCAAGAGAGAAAAAGAAAAAAGAGCCGTCCTGTGCTTGTGCTCGCGCCTTAGGTTAAAAGTCAATTTCACTTTCGGTCGTCACTTTACCACAAAAGAAAGTCGAGGATTGAATAGACAACAATGGGTATCTCTCGATACACATCCAACCGCCCCCGCCGGAAATTTCCAGCAGCGATGGCGTCTTTTCGAGAAAAAGGCGACAAATTGATCGGTCTTTAAGGAGCATTTAACGCCTTGTAGCACATGTATATAACGACAACCACGTCTTCTCTCTCTCTCTCTCTCTCTCTCTCTCTCTCTCTCTCTCTCTCTCATTGCCTTGAGTAGGGACAATGCGGGCAAATAGATTTAGTTATTGCTCGCTTACTCTCTCTGGGAATTGGTTTTGTTATACCAGGAAAATCCACTGACGCCAAGTTTTTCTATAACGAGAGATAGCTGGAAAAAGCTACACAGTATCATGTTCTATATATTCGCGTTTGCTTCTTTATTCTATTTTTGGAATGCGAATCGCGCGCATGTTCACAGAAATGACAACGTGCATGCAAATAATATATTTTATTTTTGACGAGTCAATGTTAACTGACGACCACGATGACAGACGACACAAAACACACACGCATTTGTATGTATATATACATATAACGGACAAAGTCGATCGATGAACCATTCGTATCGATAATGAGGTTTCTAGTTCGTCATCTTTTTACCGTTGAACCATTTAAAATTGATACGTACCATTGATATGTACTTTATGGATCAAGATGAAGGAGTGTAGTCGTATAAAAAAAGGAATATCTATTTAATCGTATGAATGCAAGGTCTCAATTTTATTTTTCTGTATTTTTCTGTATTATTAAAAAAATGTATTGAATATTTATGATTGGAAGTAAGAAAAGCGCGAGCAAGATTTAATATTTTTTGGTTCGATAGTAATTGAATTTTTCTATTACAATATTATAATTTCCAAAAGTCATACAAATACGGATACGGCTATCAGTCAAATCTAAATATCTCAAATTTCGAAGCAGTAAAAAATTCACGCTTAGAAAAGGCAAATCCAACACGACGAAATCAACAGATGCATAATATAAGAAAATAAAAGAATGCAATACGAATCGCGTTTACAAAGAGCGAAAAGAGTGCAAAGCCAAAAATCATTGAGCGATACACACATACATAGAGAGAGAGAGAGAGGAAAGAGAAAGATAAAAGAGAAGAATACGCGAGCGCATTCACCGGTGGAAGAAGAGCCACTGTTGTACTATACATAGTCGCCGAGGGGGTGAAGCGTGCACAAAAAGAAATAAAAGATTACAGAGTTATATAGGCGGAGAGACCCTCGATAGTTTATCCTCTAATGGCTAAAAGTAGTACGGCGGGCTACCTGAGCAGTAGCAGTTCAGCAGCAGCTGCTGCCAAGTACGTACAAGCGCATGTGTGCACTTTTATCTTCAGCTCTGCTGGGGGGAGGGTGAAGGTTCGCCAGGTATTTCTCTTCGCAACGTCACGCTTCAGAGGGGGCCCATCTGCTTCCTACCCTTATATCCTATACGTACGGGCGCGCTACTGTACGTGCATCGTTAAGTGTGCGTGTGTGACGTCAGGTGTGACGACGACCAAGATACTGTTTTAAGGGCGTATGGCGTGTATATATACCCTCCTTCGTACTCAATGTGCTCTGTCTTTTTAGCTTCCTGCCTTCATAACCCACTAGTTTACACTGTTGCCGAATTTACTCCTTTTTTTTTAGTTATTTTATAAAATAGCTATTCAGTCCTATCGGATAATCATTTTCGAACAATAACTCAACAAAAGTTAAAGATGCATAGTTTCGATCACGTGTCCGTGAACTAAAAAATCCACTTAGAAAATTTAAAAGAAAAGAAACGTCGATTTGTGAAAAAGTAAAAAACAAAAACGAATGCACTAAAGATTTTTCCTTATCAAACCTGATTACTTGAAAGCATACAATCTACAAACGACGTTCCCCTCTCGACTTGGCGTCAAACAACTTCAACTCGTTAATTATTCGCTCACAACATAATTGTTACCTTGCAAATTTCTTTCTATCTTAACTTACGAGTTGGAAAAAAAACAAGCGTCCATTTTAATTGGAAGTTGTTTTACCTCAGTCTCTCTCTCTCTCTTTCTTTCTTTCTCTTCTGTGGTCGAAATGCAAAGAAAAAAGAAAAGAGACGAATGAGTATGAAAAACAAGAACGTCAAGTCGTCGTTGGGGGGCGGCGACGGTGGTGGCAAGTGCGAGACATTAAAGAATGGCAACGCTGGGGCCACTCGACATTCCGTTGTGTCCTCGCAGCGTCGATTGCGTGCGCTGTACTCGCGCGGAAGTAGGGATAATTGCCGGCGCGCACACCGAGTTCCTGAGCTCTACGCTGCCGCGCCGGTTAGAGAATTACGTAAGGGCCAAAGGTATATATGTACTCCCCCGTACGTACACGTATGCTCATTTCTCGAGTAGAAGTGGCAGATAGATAGGAGAAAGAAAAAAGAATGAGTGGAAGAGGGAGAGAGAGTATGTACATGGTAACGACCGTTAGAAATTTCGTTCGTATTCAAGTGGTTCTTCTCTC